TGATGGTAAACTCCTGCCATTATCAGTTGCTTCGTTCTTCCTGTCGCTTCCAACCCTCTCTCTCTCTCTCTCTCTCTCTCTCTCTCTCTCTCTCTCTCTCGCTTCTTGCTCCAAATCTCTTTCCTGTCCTCTTTGACTTCGTCTCCAACGGAGAGGAGCTCAGTGCAGATGACAGTCGCTTCTGCTAGATCAATTTCTCATTCATTCTATTCTTGATCCGCAACCTGCAACCTGCATGGTGTTGTGTGGAGATAGGGATGCAAATTCCCGGACCCGCTACATGCTCGATGATATGACCCGCCTCTTCTGCGGCGGTAATGTGTATATTACTTCATCTCCATCGTTTTCTATTACCTGCTGTTTACCAAAACTCATTACATGAACACCACCCATTCTTGAACCGATGAAACCTGTAGCGATCCCTGAGGACGATCTCCCTGTTGTACAATCTGGACACGTACTTGATCACACTGTGGCAATCATGGCACACTCGGAGGTTCTTGACGATCCTCAGTGGCGTGTCGGGCCTCGAACCGATCAATCCGAATGCCATGGCCAACCTCTCGCTGTGGTGACGTGCTTCGTCCTGTGAAGAGTCGATGTTGAGGCGATGGGCGAACTCATCCACCATTGCGTATACCTCTTTCGCCTGTGGATGCAACTCCTCTCCCTTCCTGAACTCGTGAATCACGCCGTCTATCTCAATCAGGCTGCATCCCGGCGTCTTCCTCACCTTGTTCGCCCTCATTGCTTTCCTCATCCGGAGTCCGTCGCTGCGGCGATTTCCAGCGGTGTAGAGGTTGGACATGAGGACATAAGCTCCCTCCTCTTGAGGCTCGACATCGAGGAGGAGTTTCGCCACGGTCTCACCCAGTGCTACGTCTCCGTGGTTCCTGCAAGCTCCTAGCAGAGACCCCCAGATGAAGGCGTCGGGCTCCATCGGCATGCTCGAGATTAGGTCTTGTGCTTTGTCGAGCCGCCCTGCTCGTCCGAACATGTCGACCACGCAACCGTAGTGCTCGATCTGCGGTACGAGGCCGTACACCGCGGACATGCTCTCGAAGTGGCGGAGGCCGACGTCGACCAAGCCGGCGTGGCTGCACGCCGACAGGACGCCGACGAACGTGACTTCATTTGGCTTCACGCCGGCTGACGACATGGCGGCGAAGAGTTCCAACGCCTCCTCTCCCCGGCCGTGCATGGCAAGCCCCACGATCATGCTGGTGTAGGTGTACACGTCTTTGTGAGCCATGCCGCCGAAGACTTCCTTTGCCCGATCTATCCTTCCACATTTGGAGTACATGTCGACCAAGGCGTTCCCCGTGATTCCGTCCGCCTCGATGCCGTTCCTGTTGATGTAGGCATGAACCCACTGGCCCAGCTCGAGCGCTCCGAGGCTCGCGCACGAGTTGAGCGCCCCGACCAACGTGAAGGGGTCGGGCTCGATGCCTTGGCGCTGCATTTGGCGAAACAACTCCAAAGCCTGCTTGAATTCCTTATTGTTAACAAGCCCGGAGATAATGGAGTTCCAGGAGACGACATTCCTCACAGGCATTTCGTTGAACAACTGGTAAGCCGAATCGACGTCCCCACACTTGGAGTACATGTCCACCAAAGCATTGCCGACGAAGACATCCATGTCGATCTGACGGGCACCGATGTACCGGTGCAGATTCCTCCCCAGTTCCAAGTCCCCGAGTTCCGCACAAGCCGACAGCACTGCCACCATGGTCACCCCATCCGCTCTCAAGTTCTCACTCATCATTTCTTCGAACACTTTTACCGCCTTCTTTGCCAAACCCGCCTTCGTATACCCTGAGATCAAAGTAGTCCAAGAGACCAAGTCTTTCTCAGGAAATCCATCGAACAACTTTTGTATGGAACGGACCTCCCCACAAACAGCATACAAGCTCATGAGGTTGTTCCTAACGTACACATTGGCGTCGAGCCCCATCTTGATGGCATGAGCATGAAGGGCTTCCCCCGCCTGCAATGCTTGGGAATTGGCGAAGAGCTTGAGAAGGTAAGGGAAGGTAAAACTGTCAGGACGAAGGTCCTTTTCGAGCATGTCCTCGTAGAACATTATGGAAATGGAGACCAAGCTTCTGTTGCTACGGGACAAGCTGTGGAAGACGGTGTTGTACATGAGCAGGCTCGGGTTATCGATGTGGGCAAGGAGGGACCGGGCGTGGGCGATGTGTGGGGAGGAGGAGAGAGCACAGAAGGAGAGGATCTTTGCGAGGACCGGAGGAGATTGGAGGGAGGGAGTCTTGAGGACGGCGGCTTGGATTTGCTTGAGCTCGTCCATGGATCGTATGGTGTCCAATCTGTGAGGGAGCTGCAGCGGCGGGGTGGAAGGTGAAGGTGCCGAGGGAGAGAAGGCCATGGCTCTCCCGACTACTGCAGCAGAGGCTGAGTACGGATTGTATCACCTGGCCTTCGCGACACTGTGGGCAGTCATTGACACTAGATACTGATGAGACTTGGACGCCAAGGTTGTTGTTACTCCCATCCGTTAACCTTTGAAGCGACCGGAATCAATCACATGTGGTTCTACTACTAGGAGCTCCTCACCTGTATAGCCAATCATCACACGGGTTCGCGTCGGGCAGCGTGAAGGAGGGTAAATCCAGATGCAAATATAAGAAAGGAATATATGGTGGAAAGATTGATGACATTTAACACATAAGCACCTAAGAAAAGATGGCGAACCCTCTCGCCCGCCGTCCCAAATCAACCTCTCTACCCCCGCCATCTTTCCCCAAATTAAACCCCGGATGCTGGTCCCCCTTCGTTGCTTGTTGGCGAGAAACCCCAAACAAACCCAACGCCACATGTTCCCTTTTTTGTCCCCTTTGGGTAACAAAATATCTCATTCCTAATCGGGACCCACTTACCACTTGATATCTCCAGCGTATAATCCCAATAACTAGTGAGGTACCCCCGATTGCTCCATCGATCAAACCCCCCACCGCCTTCCATGTGGGCGAGAGACTCTTAACTTCGGCTCCGAAAGCTAGATGCAAAGTTGGAGTCCAAGCTACTTAAGATCAAGAACAAATCCTTTTTACGCCCTAAGCTAGATCCTACCGAGGTGAGCTGGGCTTGAAATGAAGAGAAAATGCCAATGCTTGCATAGAGCAAACTCAGCAGAGTACTCGATACAGGATTACAATCCTATAGTTAACAGACAATCACACAATTCCAAATTGCAGCATGGAGCAAGATAATAGTGAAGCATAATTGGACACGCAACTATATCCAGACAAGCACAAATCTGACCCAGGAAAGCATGTAGCTCAAGTGCAACACTATGATATTTGACTACTTGTAATGGGGAAAGCTTCGAATCAAACCTAGGTCTAAAACCATTAATGGTCAAGGTGGTGCCAACCATTCTAAGCTAGATATGACATGCCACAACAAGAACATATAATGTCTTATAAATATGCATTCATGCCATACATTGCCTTTTCAGTTGCATCTACCTCCTTGACATATAATGTTTTATCGATTTACATGTGATCTATATGTCAACATGATGGATTTTGGTTTTGGCAAAACATCTTCCTTTAACCAGGGATTGATGAACGATACCACGATGTTCAACTGTTTCAACTTGAAACAGCTAAAATCATGTGTCAAGCAAACTAGTAATGGTCCAAATGAGGGTTGGCACACTAAACATCTAGGTTAGGATGATATACCTCTTCAAATCATCATGTAAAGCTCGTAAGCCAAATTAAACCACACTAGAACATCCATTTCTTAGTCTAATATTGGAATATCCATCTTCAATTTTTTTCTGTCAGTTATCCCTTATTACAAGCTGATCGGGTTGGAAACAGTCTTAATTCTTAACTTATATAATCTAAATTTTCCATGTACCATTGTTAATTATCACTTAACAACTGATTATTATGACTCTAGAATCTTAATCAATTTAAGAACAAACCATCCTTAATAGATCTTTATTACTGTTGAACAGCAGAATAATCATTCTTTTATTATCATTCCAAAACCCGTACACATTAAGTAATAATGTATAAGCCAAAGATTAAAATTTTGTATCGTACCGATGTTACGAGCTTTGCTTGGTATAGTACAATATGACGTACCGAACGATATGCCTAAAAATATAAAAATTAATTTTAGTATCGAGTGGTATTAAATATATAAAAAATATATATAAATCATAGCAATATAAAATGAAAATTAAGGGCACATTTGTGTGCTTCGTAGCCTTTATATATTGGGCCGAATCCTATTTGCAAAAGAGGGAGCAAAGAGCTGTGGCATCCAGAAAACGATGGTAGCGGGGGCCACAGCAATGGAGCGGAGAAACAAGAAGAAGGATAAACGGGAGCAAGGTCATGCCCATTGAACAAGGACAAGAAGAAAATCCATGGCAGCAAGATGTCAAGGAACAAGTGGAGAAGGAGGAGGTGACGCTCGACGATGGCAAGTCGTATAATCCCAACAAGGCGATGGTGAGCGGAATGTTAAATCTCGAATTTTGATGATGAAATTAATTGATGAGTCTGTGATCTAATCAACGTTTGAGAAAAGTGATGCAGGACTAACTTCGATCTTGGAAAGGCAAAACGATTAAAGCAAAAGAATCGGACATTGGGCCGGAGTCAAAGATCGAGCATCGGGCTAGAAGAATCAGACATTGCGCCAAGATCGGATGTTGCGAGAGTCAACATGCCGAATGATCAAGCAATACATCGAAGGAAAGCATGATACACTAGGAGTTCAAAAGAACCAATGATATGTTAGACAACATAGTACTTTTGTCTTGTAATCATTTATCTTGATCGTCGTAGTTTAGGTCTAAATTGAGTAAGTTTTGGGTATAACTATGCTAACTCAATTAGGGGCCCATTGGACCTAAATTAGGGTTAATTTGAGCCTATTTAATGACTCACAGTTGGGTCAAGCGATGACACTGCCAGATTAGGCGATGGAACCGTCTATGAGATGGAACGTATGAAATGTACGTTTTCCGGAAGACCCAGCGATGGTACCGCCCAGACTGACGATGGTACCACCAATACATGGTCTTCCATGGTGTCAAGCGGTAGTACTGCCAATGGTTAATGTTGTAGGTGGTTGCACTGCCAGCACTGATGATAGTACCACCAGGACCCCGAAAATCCGGGGATGAGACTTTTTGGCTCCATTTTTTAAACCATTTAAGGCCTATAATTGCTCCACTCATTCTTGCTTAAGATAACAAGAAAAGTGAACGAAAAGGCTTGTGATCCTAAGTTGTAAACTCTTAAAAAGTGTTTTGTATTCCTCTCCTCTTTAAAGTTTAGAGCTCATTCTAAAAGAGGTGTGAGACTTGTAAAGGTTCTCTCTTAAACCTGTAAAAAGGAGAAAGAGTTATAAAGAGGATAGTTGGTCTTCGCCCATTGAAAAAAGATCGTTAGTGAACGCCAATAACCTCAACAAAAGAGGAATCAAGAGTAGACGTAGGTCGCGATGACCGAACCACTATAAATTCGGTATGCATTTCCTTTCTGCTCTTCATTGCTATTGCTTTCTGATTTAATTGCTTATTACACTTACTCTAAGTTAAGCACACTTTCGATATAAGTTTTCCATCAAATAAAATTTTTAAAATCATAATTTTATAAAAACACTAATTCACCTCGGTACCGGTCTGCCAAAGATTACATTAAAGATTTTAATTTCGAATGATACCGCCTGGTACCGATTTGTCAATAGATCGATACGCGGACCGCTTGCCATCGGGCAATATCAACCTGGTTGTGGCCTGGCTACTGCGAGGAAAGAAGAAACGTCGAGGGAGAAGAGGGAGAAGGCGCTCGAAGAAGAGGGAGAATCGAAAGAACCTCGATGCTTCCCGATCCGGCACCGCCCTCCGTTGATAATCCTGATCTAAGAGGTAACGAAGAGGCGATAGCTTGACTTCTTCGTCACGTTCTTCGCCGAATGCCGAAAATGCTTTCAGCCTTCACTGCATTCTTCGCCGAAGGCCAAAGATGTCTGCGGGCTTCGACATCTTCGCCGAGCACCGTAGATGAGGAGAAGACCGAGAGAATGCGATGAAGGCCGAAAACATCTACCGCCTTCGATGTCTTCACCGAACGCCACAGATGAGGAAAAGACAACATCTTCTCCTCATCTAACATGACGAGGAGAAGAAAAAGGAGGTAACGTCACCAAGGCAACGTAGCCCTTTACTTTTTATTTTTTACATATTATATATATATATATATATATGTATATATATATGTATATATGTATATATATATGTATATATGTATATATATATGTATATATGTATATATATATGTATATATATATATAT